TGAGCGCTGAGCGCCGCGGGTTCGAGGCCGCCCCCCGGCGGCGCCGCCGGAGGACCCGTGTTCGAGCCCGCCCCCCGCCCGGTCCGGTCGCCCCAAGTCAAAGTCCCCTCTTCGAGGGAAGGGATAAATCCTCCCCTCATCCCCCCCCGAAACAACCCTGCACGCTAACAAGCCCCAGCACAGACCCATGTAAGGGCCGCTGTTCACCCCTCGGCTCCGGGGCTCCATTACTGGGAGGGAAAGGAGAAGGTTCCCCGCAGAGTTCAGTTTCAGTAGTTTTTATTTATAGCATCCATACGCGTACCAGGTGAGCGATCTTCTGTCGCGATTTACAAAGCACTTTACGACACACACAAGCGGGGTGTTTTGATTTTATAAATTATGTCTTCTAGCCTCCACAAGACCTCGTGCAGCAGACACGTCACTGCTAGATACGTAATTCTAATCGGCAAAGTTGCAGGCAAGGTCGTCTTGTTGACACTGAAGCTATTTTCCTGGTCTATTCCTGCGCGTGGCGACCCCTCGGTGGGAAGGGCACAGCTCTGTCACCACGGGGGGGAAGAGAGGGGGTTAGTCCTCTGTTAGCCACCCACTTATTAAGTAGTCATAGGGCACTGCATGCGTCACCTCCAGCGCAGGGCCTTCCTCCCGCTCCTGTCAACACCACCACCACGCACCCAACAGGTTCTTGTGTAGCCCTGTTTACGTGTATTTGTTTCCCTGAAGAAGTCACCCTCACTCAGCCTACCCGTGACTCGGTTCAGGGGAGGACAGCAAGCCAGAGCCAGCTCGGCTTCCCTCTGGCTCAGCTGACTCAGGGAGGTAAAGTCATTTTACCTCCACTTCCCACACGGAAGATTTCTTTGCAGGTTTATTACCCATTAAGAGACTGGAAACAACAGCCTAGCTCCTCTTTCTGCCACACAGCTGTGCGTTCTCAACGCTGCCATCAGCTCGCGTCTTTCTGCCACACAGCTGTGCGTTCTCAATGCTGCCATCAGCTCGCACTTGCCCCTGCTACAGCAACGTCCAGACTTGGTGCGAAGTGCCCATCGCCACCTCGCGCAGAAGGAAAAGGCAATAGCTGAGCCGTTGTTTTCTCAGAGTCGTGTCCCGAGGCATCAAAAGGCTCGTTACCAGCTCGCAGCAGACACTCGTTCAGTGACAGATCTCTGATCAGCGGGTAAGCAGCAACTGAAGCACCGAACACATGACCGATTTCTGCCTCTGCTCTGCGCAGGTAGGGAGTATTTCCCTTCCTTGGCTCGCCTGCACTGAGGATACTGACGAAACCCCTGTTTCGGAGGAACTAAAACTGCTCTCCTGCTATCGCTGCACTTCAGCCCTCTGCAGTGCTGCTCTTTCAGGACCTGCTATAAATCTAATCTCTTCTGGAGCAAACTATGTCACCTCAGGTCTCCTACTTACCACTCACTCACCCGCCTCACGTACCCAAACAAGGAAGTAAGGCAACAACAGAAGCTATTCAGGAATTAAACAGCATTACTGACACAAGTTAGGTCCAACAAGGTCCTTCGCTTCTCCTAGCGCTAGAGCCATACCTAGCTACCAGTGAAGACCCTCATTTTCCTATTGATAATTCCTTTGAGGAAGCCTCCACTCTGCACTGGGACATCAGTGTGGGTTGTGAGACTTACCTTCGGGTGGGATCGGGTTGGCAGCTTTACACGGCGGTGCCTGAAATGAGACGTGTATTAGCAGATAGCAACTGCTGACAGATGTTGACCTTACGCCTGAAGCTCACTAGACGTCATTTAGAGCTGCGCAAGTCTTCACTGAGCACAGTCTAAGATCTAAGCAGTGTAAATTGGGCTGTGGCAGCCAGTGCTGGTCAGCTGTGAGGGAATAAATGAGCTCACGTGCGGCGTGAGTCCTGTCGTTCCCACAGCCTCCTCATTCCGTACATGTCCTACATGCCGGAGGCGCTCTGCTCTAAGCAGAGGCTGCAGTGCCATCTACTTCTCACCCTAAGCACTTACCGCTCCAGCGTCTATACAGTTGCGTGCAGCCTGCTTTTTTTAAACCTACAATGTGATGGTGGCATAGAAGTACAAAGGACTCTCAAAAAACTTCTCTGAAGAGCTTTCATCCGGTGTTTAGCAACCAAAGGCAGACAGGGCGTCTGGTGACACATCCTCCACGAGGGTTACACTTTCAAAAAACTTTTAAAGTAATTCGGATACCACCAGAGGATACAAGCCCTTTTAAAACCAAGAGGATGATAGAAGGCTACAGAGAAACTCTGGTTTCCAGTCACATTTCCATACACTGAGGCAACATTTGCATTTTGATTTTCCTATCCCATTCCTCTAACCCCTTTCAAGTTGCCAACAACAGTACTTGACAAGCCTAGGGAGAGGCAGTTAAGTCCTGAAACTGTAGGGGTACTACACTGGGAACTTCAAGCTTTTCACTGCAAAGGATGCAAGGTCCCTGGCTGCAAGGCTCTCAGAAATTAGACTTTCTCTTCTCACAGCGTGACCTGTGCTGCAAAGCTCTTGGAAGGCCAAATATTTAAACACGCTCTGAACAGCTGACAGCCAAGTTACAGTTCAGAAGCTTAGCCCTTCATGCAAACTCTGTTTTGGATTCCATCTCCCAGATGACTAAAGGCAAGGAGAAGCCTCTGGAGGAACGTCTGGCTTGCTCCACATCCATCCTATTTAACCAGAAACAGGTGCTGCAGTCAGTCATGCAAAAAGATTCTGAGCATACAATGCGCTATTCACACAGCAAGGACAGTTTACGGTACCACACAAATCGTATCGTTTTGCTGGACACTGATGTTGGGGGAAGGACACTGATGTTGGGGGAAGGACACTGATGTTGGGGGAAGGACACTGATGTTGGGGGAAGGACACTGATGTTGGGGGAAGGACACTGATGTTGGGGGAAGGACACTGATGTTGGGGGAAGGACACTGATGTTGGGGGAAGGACACTGATGTTGGGGGAAGGACACTGATGTTGGGGGAAGGACACTGATGTTGGGGGAAGGACACTGATGTTGGGGGAAGGACACTGATGTTGGGGGAAGGACACTGATGTTGGGGGAAGGACACTGATGTTGGGGGAAGGACACTGATGTTGGGGGAAGGACACTGATGTTGGGGGAAGGACACTGATGTTGGGGGAAGGACACTGATGTTGGGGGAAGGACACTGATGTTGGGGGAAGGACACTGATGTTGGGGGAAGGACACTCAGATTTGTACTCACTGCATCCACAGTAGCTTTTGCACACTCTTGACTACAGCAGAAAGGGCTGTCAGACACCGTCAGATTCATGCTAGAAGAGAAAGGTCGCTTGTGAAAACGTGAAAACCAAGTCTCTCCCCCAAGAATATTAAATAATGGAATATTAAAAATCATTGTTATAGTTGCCAAGCTGAAGGGGAAGGCCTGCGGAGACAGCCAGCAGCTAACAGAAAGCACGGCACCACTCAGGAAAGGAAGTTTCAGGGTTATTTGTTTAGGGGAAAGGAAAGCGCACAATACCGCAAGTATTAACCTACCAGTTGATCTCCCCTCCGTCAGTTTTCTTCGCTATTAAAGCTTTCCAGTGTTCATGAGTGCTTTTGATGATGTTCACTGCAAAATCCTGAAGTTGAAGATGACAACAAACATCATGTTATGTGTAAGCACTAGGCCATTTCCTCCAGACTATCGGTTACATGGAATGAGAGGCCAGTATTTATAGGCTGATTTTAGATAGTTTCCGACTCTGGAAGGGTCTCAAAGAGACCCCTTCCGTTACTGCGCCCCTCAGGAACAGCAGCAACCTCCCAGCGCACAACAGCTGAACAACGGGGATTTTATAAGACCAATTGTTTTACTTCCAAGATGGGAGGATACGCCAAGGTCACCTAGCGAGCTTAAAGCCAAAAGAAACTGAATGCAGACATTCTAGTCTCGGGCCAGTGCTGTATTATAAAAGCACCTCCACCCTGCTGCTCCTCCCAGTCAGTTTGTCTTCGGCAGCTAGTTGATCCTGACCTATCTATGAGCTTTCTTCCACTCCAGGCAAATCATTCAACTGCTGTGCAGATCAACAGGAAGGGACGTGCACCTAATCCAGCTTTGCAACTATTTAAAAGTGAATCTGCTTCCAAGCATATCACAGCTTTTTTCCTTAAAAAAAGTAGCAAATGCTCAAGCATTAACCTGTCAGCTGGAGAAAGAAGCACACACAATTCTTTGTTAGCATGAACAACAGCAATAAATATCCTGGTTTGATACCACACAGAGCCAAATAAAACACTGCAGGAACACGTGTGAGGTTCTTTGTCCCTACTTTCCGCCTTGGCCTTGATTCCAGTTTCACCCATCCTGAGGGGCAGCGAGATGTCCCAGCCCACCCAGCCTAGTGCCGTGCTACAGTTGAAGGGGACAAGTCCACTCCCACGTGACTTCCATTTTTCCCCCCTTACCCTTTCCTTCCCCTCCCACACCAGGCTTTGCAGGCCCTCCCCTTCTCTGCACCAACTCCATAGCTCTGGGAGTTGAGTCGCCTCACTAACCCACTCATGGCACACCAGGACTGGCAGGAGGGAGGGTGCAGAAGCAGGATTTCTCCCGTTCAGGAGCAGTAAGTTATTCAGAGAACAGGCAGAGGAATAACGCTGCCAAGGCAGAGCCTTACTCAAAGGGCGTGAGGGAACACTTTAACGCCTGAAGGCAGAAGCATTTTAACTCCTGAGCAGTCAACTTGCAACAGGCTGCAGTGGAAAAAAGCCAGTGAGCAAGGGAGGCAAAGGGTGATGTCAAGCACCCTTTGCTCCAGAGCAGGAGCAAATAAACCTGGTGTTTTCCATCCTGGCTCTGACATGGGGGTTCCCAGCCCTGAAGTGATCCCACGTGAATGTCATCTAAAAGAAAAACTGATAATATCCAACAGCAGCCGGGTGATAACCCTATGCTTTTTCTCGTAGTATTCCTGCAAGCACTGGGCTGGAAACAAGCAGAATGGTAGGCTGGAAAAACAGCAGGAAGAATGAAGTCAGCAGCCCCGTAGAAACCCATTCTCTCAGCAACTACTCATTTGTGTCCCCATGCACCTTGAGCTCAGGTTTTGGACAGCATGCCTTTGCATGCTCACAGCAATGGAGAAAGGCGGTCCTACCTTGTCTTTAAATTCGCCATTGAAAGCAAACTGGTTTTCTGGCTTTCCATCAGGTACTTTGTATCTTCTGAACCAGTCCACTGTAGCTTCTAAGTATCCAGGTTTCATCCTTCTGACGTCATTGATATCTAGCCATGGAGAAAAGGTTTGTTAGCCAGATCTAGTAACAGAAGTTACTTGGCTACTACCCCACTCTTCTGAACCGCCCCTCCTCAAGTAGCCTTAGCAACATTTCAGACAGGTTACAGTAAAGACGCAGAGTAGACATCTGCACAGGAAAGTTAGTGTTTCATCTTCACAGTATATCCTGATTGCCCCCTGGAGCATGGACATGTTTAAGCAGCTTTGACTTACTGGACAACCCCTTTCCTTCCACTCAGAGGACAGGCTGTGCAGCCACCCTCTTCTTCAAGGTGCCAGGCTGTGCAGAGGACTGACAATTTGGGATAAACAGCAGTAAAATGTTTTGCTATAGGATCGATAACATCCTATTCTGCTGTCCTTCCAGTATCACATCTGATGAATACTGTGGCATAGAAGGAGCAAGCCCATGTCCTGACTTGAAAGCTTCCTGCAGGCTCTCAACGGAGAAAGGGAAGTACTAAACCTGCTCCTCCTTCCTGTTACTTACCATTATAGTTGCCTGCTTCAGGGTCTTCAACGTTGATAGCAATTATCTTCCAGTCTGTCTCTCCCTCATCAATCAGTGCCAGCATGCCCAGCACCTTCACTTTGATGACTTCCCCTCGAGAGCAGACCTGCAAGGACAAAGACCTTGTTGTCTGTACTGATGCATCCAAGGAATGCACAACAGGAGACTGTACAAGCTGTGAGAGTTCAGCAAGCAGTCGGGTACCGCGAAATTAGCTATCGCTTATCAGCGATTCATAAGCCTTGGCTCACAAGGCTTGCACTGTAAGATCTCGTCAACAATCTCCAGAGGCAGTAGAAGGAAACAGCACATTCTTAAGGTAGAGGAGGTAGGAACTGAATAATGTCTCCGGATAATTGACTTCAGAGACATTAATTATGTTTCAAAAGACAGTTACCCTTTAGAATGCATTACCTTGCTTCCAATTTCACACACATCAATTGGATCGTTATCTCCACAGCAGCCAGTATTTCCATCTTTGTGACCTGGGTCTTCCCAAGTCTGCAAAAAAACCCCCACACATGAATAAGAACTCTCAGGTTTCAAGAGGAAACAAAAAGCAGCTTTATTTCAGGCATGCAGTTGCCTTGAAGATACAGATGATGGCCCACTTCACACTTGCTTTCAGGTCTAGTGGTTGGCTACTATTTCACTTGCGCCTGCAAATGCAGTTTGAATCCAAGTTAAAAGGTCTTATCTTGCCAAGGGTAAGCTGCTCCCTCCCACTCACAAACCTTTTTTCAACCACTTTCCGGACTTCCTCCTCCATTCCACAGCTGCATAAAGGTGAAGTTCATATCTATAAACAACACTCATTGATTTGGCTGCCCGCCTGTTCCTCTCCCTATTCATTTCTTAACAGAAGTTTCCTGAACTCCAGATAGCAGTCCAACAGAGATGGAAGACAGACAAGGTGTATTGTTGCCTTTTAATTAAACAATTAAAGACACGTTGTTAGACTAGAGCAGTGACAAGAATGCGGAGTCCCATACCCTGTGCTACCCAGCATCCTAGCATGTCTCACCTAAAGCGGTGAGTGTAAGTTGAAAAACAGGACTCCAGAAGGCATTTGAGCTATGCCTCCAAAAATAACAGCTGCTTAAAACACGCTTATGATCAGGAGCAAAAGGACACCGTGCCCACTTGCATCATAAGGAGCATCTACCCCTAAGGTTGTTGAGATACAAAAAGAAGGAATGCTCTTCCCAAATCTCTGCATGCCAGGACACGACTAGTATAGTCAAGACCTCGTGATGCATCCAGGGCATTCAGGAAGATGTACTGAAACCTGGGTGGTACCGAGGGACTCTTCACAATCACTATCGTACTTCTCTACAAGGAAGTGTTAAGTTTGGTCCCTCGCCCTTGATGCATAAACATCTTTGATCCACTAACACACAACTGAGCAAAGGCTTCAAAAGCCGTAACTCTGTACAAAGAAACTGGCTCCAGAATCCATCCGAGTAGAAAACAATTCAACTTCAAAACACCGTCTTCAGCCACTTGGACTATCAAGACTAGAATTACAAAATTCAGAGCGTTTCCCTCTGAACTGTCACTGACAATTTATTTCTCTAAAGGAAACTCAAACCTTAAGAGAACATCAGAGGCAAACAGCCTTGCTCAAAGTTCCTCTTTATGTAGCAGTCACCAGCCAGTTAAGAGCATGTGTCCAGCTGTCACCATCTGTCGGTCCCCCCTTGCCAGCTGTTTCAGAGAAAGCGTGTCTGTGCAGCTGCGGACATCTGCCTCACGCAGTCTCTGGACTTCTGAGTGTCTGCCACTCAGTTCCAACACTGAGAACAGGGCATCCACTACCATCCAACAGGTCAATACTTAATCTAGGTGTGTGTTTTAGACCCTATTAAGAGGGGCAGAAATGGGAAAGATACAGTCTTCAGATCTATTCAGATTTTCATTGTCCACATCCAAAGTCTAAATCAATCAGCTAATTCACTGCAAGAAGAATCTTCTGTAAAGATTCAACCTAAGGGCCGTACACCAAGATCCTGTACCATTAGCTTAAAACTTTAGCTCTTTATGCTTCACCAGGCAGGAACTGAGGGCATTGCATTGCCAGATGCCCAGTTCCTTGTGTAGCGACAGCTTCCCTCATCCAAAGACAAGGACCTGCCAGCTACTGTCCAACCAAACTGCTGAGTGGCCAAGGAGAGGAGCAACACAGCAGGTACCTCACTAGCAGCAGCTGCTCATCCTCAAATAGATTGTTTACAGCATTAGCTACAAGCCTACCTCTTGAGATTTCTACTTAAAAGTACCCCTGCTTTCTCGACAGGTTCTCTTCATTAGCAAGATTATATATGCAGCTGCAGATGCTGTGTTCCAGATCAGACTCTCAGCTAACCTTTTGCTCATTAATACAGTGGTAGTCAGAGACACACACAGAGGCATCCTCCCTCCTCCCCACCAGAAAGGATGAGCCACTGAGACAAGTTACAGTACCTGTGGGATAGCACCGTAATTCCAGATATAACCCTTATGGGGAAACACGTTAGCTACGTAGCGCAGTTTTCCTTTCTTAACATCTTGCTTAATTGGGTTTAAGGGATCCTTTGTTGCAATCTGAAAGAAGAGTTATATAAATCTCTTTACTTTGCTCTCTTAAGAAAAAACAAGCTATTTTTTTTAAAATGAAGCTGGCTACTAACTGACAAGCCAAGAGACCAGGAGCTGACCCTGAAGCCAACAGCAGATACTGGACAACTCCATTTCCTGTTGCATTGCCATCTCCTGGGATATAGTTTTCAGCAGACTTACAAATGTCAGAACCACATGGGGTTGAGAGCCATAAGATGCTGCTTTAATCAGAAGCCACAGAAGAATACTAAGTTATTCCAACTTCTGCAAGTCTCAGCCTCCATACTAGACGTCTAGCATTAAGTAAGTATTTACATGAGAAGATAGAAACCACTCTGATTCAGGAGGTGGAACTGAGAAGGAGAGAATCAGCAAAGCCAAAGATTAATAGACTAGTCAGCTCAAGCACTTGAGCTGGGAACTGTAATATAGTTACCTCCATTTTAGCATTTGTCCATCGAGGTACTTCCACAACCATGTTGAACACATTCTGAAGAAAGCAAAATATCAGTGAATGGGAAGGAATCTCAAGACCACACTTTACACTAGGGAACACAAAGCATGAAAACCAGCCAATTAGCATAACTTTTTTCTGTTTTTTTCCAGTGCCAGTTTTGATACAGTTGATAGAAGTCCTGTAGTCCCGTCAGTCACATGTCATCACTCGAAGTTTCATCCCATAAAAGATACCAGCAAAAGCCAGATTGAGGTTACCCATGCATGCTCCATCAGTTGCCACCTATGAATATCTCCATCATGTTCCTAGGTTATGGAACAGCAGGTTTAAATGAATCGAAGACAGCTGCATACAAACTGTCCTACGCAGAACAAAATGAGGTTTTAGGCATATTTATTAAATACAAAGCACTTAATGCTACAGCAAGAGCCACCCTGGCAATTTGGAAGAGACAAGGCTTATAGGAGTAAGCCATCTGTTTAGTAATGTGGGTACCTACGTTCTATCCTGAACGACCGAGAACATGATTCCCAAATATTCTAGTCTGTCCTGAAGTAGGGAGAGATGCCCGAGCTTCCCCCCTCCAAGCCAATAAACCTTGTTAGCAGTACAGTGCAAGGATAAAGATGTGGGGGAGAAACATAGAACCACATCTTGCAGTATCTAGTTTACAGGTGATGCTTGAAAACATCTCCTGTTGACTCCAGCTGGGCTGAGAGGACTCCTGAGAGTTCAATGTCAGTCTCCTCTTCAAGAAAACAAGCTTTTCCACGCTTGAACCTTAACATTTGCTGTTTGAAGAGATTATGGCTTTTAACAAAAAGCCAAACCTCGTTCCCTAGCATTGACAAGGTTTCTAATCCCCATGCTAAGCAGTATTAGGTTGCAAAATCCGTTGCACCTGTATTGCACCATAATTAGATTGATATTGTGCAATGAGTGCTGTTATATCATTGACTTTGCCCACACCCTTCCCTAACAGAAGTTTATTACATCTCCTTAATTGCAGGGGCTCACTGCTCATTTGCAATTTAAAAGTAAAAGCTATATACTATTTTGATTTATAAGTAACTCGAGGAAAGGAATGAGGCAATCAGAACCAGGTAGGCAGGGTGCTTACGGCTTTGCAGGCAAGGAAAGATGACTTGGGGTTGCATCTTTGTTCGGTTCGCAGTTTCCCCACAGTCCAACTGACAGATCTGCCGTGGTCTAAGACACCCAGTGAGTAGCCCAAGGTCACTCCTTTGTAATGCCAAGACATGCAGGTACAGATAAGGTCAGCTCATCCCAGCCCTAGACTGAAAAAACCACCCTGCAATCCTCTCAGTGTCTTAGAAGTCTAAGGATAAAGATCAAGGAGCCCAGACAGAGTAAGACAACCTTCTGCTCCAAGCTGGGCTTCCTACCATAGCTGGTAATGAACCTGCTAAGTAACAAGTAAAATCTCTGTGGAGAGGCACTCCAGCAAAAAGAGGTCTAATGTGATCAGCACTGTTGTGTAACTTTGGGGACTGCAACCTTCAGTGATACTTGCTTCTCTTAACGACTTGGCACGGAGAAGCTGGCAAGCAGCACTAAGCGCCTGAAGGCACACCAGTAGTCCAGTTTTGCTTGTTAATCATTACCAGTCTGCGGAAACCCTCCTCACCCCTATACTCACTCCTCTGCTCTTTCCTCCCCTGTTCTGTGAGCGTCTGCAAAGCGTAGTATTATCTGGATTTTCCTTGTCCGAGTTACCTTTCAGACACCTGCTTTTGAAAACTGCTTTCCCAGTTGGCCACAGAAACTGCTTCGCCACTGTCCTTGATTATTACAATGTCTTTTCCCTTCTGAGCAGACAAAAGCCGCCTCAGACTTCCCAGAGCATATTCTGACAACACCTGCACTTCACAGCTCAATCAGTTACTTTTTAGAGGTTCATCTCTCAATTCTGCATACTCTTTTCCTTTCCCATAACCACTCTCTACCTCCAAATTACACGAACATTAGAACAGTTCATCCACTATGTTTCTCAAGCTGCACAGCTTTTTAGTACACGTTAAAAGAAGAAACGAGCTACAAAGGCAAGGAACACAGAGAGCCCAAGCCACCACTGAAAAAGCATTTAGTGAAAACCGAAGCACAGCCGTTTTGGTTTCCTAGAGCATTTTAGACAGTGATTTAGAACAGCCTAATTTGACTAACCGCTGGTTGCCAGAAGGATGTAAAAGCCCTGCATCACTGCATGCAGCAGGCTCCCCAGCTGCACTTTTGGTGAGGCAAGAGGTCCCCAGGAGCTGCTACATCAAGAATTTAATGTCCTCACATTCTGTTCAGTGGCTGATTATACTACAGGCATAACGTGGCCTTACTGCAGTCAAAACCCAAGCCTGAAATATCATGCAGCAAGAGCGTATACCTCCACAGGAGTGGATGCCGATATTCAGCTAAACAGAAGACTGCTTCTTTTAAGCCAAAATGCTTTCATGTTATCTCATGGGCAAGTTCAAGACAACCACTCGTATCTCAGACACCAATACGAGAATGAGATCATCCGTTCTCCTCTCCTGCGTCACTCTACCCGAGGCTGACTGCGAGAAAAGGGCACCCATTCTTTGCAAGATCTGGTGATGCTTCCATTAGGGTGCTCCTGCCGAGAAGCAGCGTAAGGAACTGGGCGCCTCCCTCGGGTATTTCAGGCCTGCAGGACCGCACTCCCTGAGGACCACTGACAAAATACTCACCCCCGGGGCCCAGAGCTCCGGCGGTTGCTCTTGCCACCGGCCCCAAGCCAACGAGGCCACACCAGCCACCCGGCCCGGTGCTCCTTGCTCCGGCCCCTCTCCCCTCTTACCTTGCCGGCATCCGCGTAGATGGGGATATCGTGGAAAGGGGAGATGTAGCGGCCGGCGGCGTCCTCTGCAAGGCAAGGGGGGCGAGTCAGGCCCGGCCTGAGGGGACGCCTC